GGGGCTTTGAGACTGGAGAGACGGCTCCGCAGATACGATCATGTGTTGCTCTTGTAGAGGACTGAGTTCAGTTCCCAGCACCTACGTGGTGGCTCACAGAAATCTGTAACTCCAGTTCCAGGGGATCTGATGTCTTCTTCTGGTCTCTGCAGGCACGGGTGTGCACACTGAGTGCAGTAATCATCCTGGCAAGACACCCATTCACTTAAAAGAAAACAAATCTAAAACCGTCTAAATTAAAAAAAAATTGTAAAGATTAGAGAATGTGACTTATGTCTTTGATCCCAGCACTCAGGAGGCAGAAGCAGGCAGATTTCTGTGAGTTTCAGGTCAGCCTGGTCTACGTAGAGAGTTCCAGGGCAGTCAGCAGGGCTACATAGATAGACTCTGTCTCTGAACACAAAAACAAAATAATAAAACAAAGATAGACGTTTAGAAGTGAACAAAGATTTCTGAAAATAAAAAATGTACTAACAACCAAAAGACTTACATTTTTTAAAATTTGTTTTATTACATTTTATTTATTTGGGTGGTGTATGTACATACGCAGGTACACACAAAGTCTCCAACGAGTCCCAGTTGGAAGGTGATGGCACACTCCTTTAATCCCAGCACTCAGGAGGCAGAGGCAGGCAGATCTCTGTAAGTTCAAGGCCAGCCTGGTCTACAAGAGCTAGTTCCAGGACAGGCTCCGAAGCTACAGAGAAACCCTGTCTCAAAAAAAAAATAATTATTAATAATAATAATGATAATAATAATATATTTTTCAAGTGCATTGGTGTTTTGCCTGCATGTATGTCTGTGTGAGGGAGTCAGGTCCTCTGGAACCAGAGTTACAGACACTTGTGAGCTGCCATGTGAGTACTGGGAATTGAACCGAGGTCCTTTGGAAGAACAGTCCATCTGAGCCATCTCTCCAGTCCCTACCTTTCTTTATTCTATATGTTTTTCTTTTCTTCTTACTCTATGGCTGGCTGTGTGACTGGGTGACCGACCCCTAGTATCCTCCTCCCCTCCTTTTCTTGTTCCTAGCTCTTCTCTCAAGCCTAGATTTCTCCTCCTATTTATTCTCTCTGCCTGGCAGCCCTGCCTATCCTTTCTCCTGCCTAGCTATTAGCCATTTAGCTCTTTATTAGACCAATCAGGTGTTTTAAGAAGGCGAAGTAACACAGCTTTACAGAGTTAAACAAATGCAACATAAAAGAATGCAACACCAAACCACAATCCCAGAGAACTTAGACAACAATGCGGACACTAAGAGAAACTTACATAAATATAATCTACATGGAAAGTAGAAAAAGACAAGATCTCCTGAGTAAACTGGGAGCGTGAGGACCTTGGTGGAGGATTGAAGTGGGAGGGGAGAGGCAGGGAGGGGAGCACAGAAAAATGTAGAGCTCAATAAATATCAATAATGTTTTTTAAAAAAGAAAGAAAAAAATGACTAACAGTCAAAAAATGCAAAACATTTTTGCATCATTAAACAAATTTTCCACAGCATAAACGAATGCAACACATCTTAAACTAATATTCCACAACGGAGAAGAAGCCTGAGTCCCTGAGATGTGTTTTGTTTGTTTTGCAGGCCTGGGGTTGAACCCCAGACCTGCCACATGCCGGGCAAGTGCTGGAACACTACACCCATCTCCATCCGAGTTGGCGAGGTAACTGCCGTCCCAGTTTTACTCACTGACCCTATAAACTTGGAACAGTTACATGCCAAAATAACAACACTTTTGTGGGGTTAAAAGTCTGTTTCTATTTCAGTTTGGTTGAGTTGGGTTTCTTTTGTGGAGGGTTGTTTGTTTTTTTTGTTTGTTTGTTTGTTTGTTTAGTTTAGTTTTTGAGACAAGGCCTTATGTAGCCAAGGCTGGCCTGAATTCCTGACCCTCTTGAGTCATTTTCCAAATGGCTGAGATTATAGACATTGGCACCATGCCCGACTATGGGTTTAAAAATATATAAGAGTAACTGGTAACTGCATTCAGGTGGGATTACTGTGTTGTAGTTCATATAGCCTGTTCTGAATATAATAAGAAGATACATTGTATGTAGTCCCTAAATACAAAACACTGCAGTTGGAATGTAGTTCAGTGTTAAGTGCCTGCTTAGCAGGTGTGAAGTCTTGTGTTTAATCCCTGAACTATAAAAAGTAAAAAACAAAAAAAATAATAAAAATACAAGAAGTTGGGGGCAGGCAAGATGACTCACAGAGTAAGGGCACTTGCCAAGTCAGGTGGCCTCTGTTCAATCCCCAAACCCACAAGATAGAAGATGAGCACTGAGTCCTAAAAATTGTCCTCTGGCCTTCACGTGCACTGTGGTGTGCACAGACATGCCACCATACACACACACACGCGCACACACACAAAATAAAGAAAGAAAAAATGTACTTTCTGCCTCCTAAACAGCTGAGATCACAGCCTGTATCTTACTACAGCTGGCACTATTGGATTTAAATTATGAGAATTTTTCTTAAGCTGGAAAACTTAATTATAAACACACATGCAAATATAGCCCATGACATTTTAAAAGCAAAGCTATGGTGTGGTAGCACGCCCATCTTTGATCCCAGCACTCAGAAGACAGAGGTAAGCGAGTCTCTGTGAGCTCGAGGCTGCCTGGTCTACAAAACTAGATGTATTTGTGAATTAATGACATTTTGGTACAGCTATAATGGCTGAAAGGAGAAAAACTTACAGCTGCTTTTCTTTGTTCTTTGAAACAGGATTTTATGTAGCCCAGGTTGGCCCTGAGCTCACTACTCACTATTATAGTTAGAAACTTTGAAATGATATTATCCTGCATCCACAAAACCAGAGAGAATGATTAATAAAAAGGATCAATACTAAAGCATAAGGTTTCAGAGAAAAGAAAAACAGGAGAGTTCAAACAAACAAACAAACAAACAAACAAAACAACACAATTTTTAAACATTTAGAGGCAGTTGCCAGACAGCAAAGAGTTAGGACAAGGCATGTTAGCAGGATTTAGGAGCCAAACGGAACAAATTCTCAACAGCCAACAGTGGAACAATTTGAGCAATAAAATGAATAATGTCTTGGGCTAGAACCCAAAGTCTAAAATAAATAAACACGAACCACAGTGATCTAAATGAATAAATAAATACATAGGGGAAGTCAGGACTGTAATCCCAGCGCTTGGGTGACTAGAGGTGAAAGGTCAGGAGTTCAAGGCTTCTCCTCCTTCGCGTTCAAGTTCAATACCAGCCTGAGCTCATGATGCACTGTTTCAAAAACCAATAACAAAACAAAACAAGAAAATCAAGGTGAGAGGACCAGACAGTGACCTCCACAGTCAAGTGGCGGTTCCTATCATAGGATGATGTCACATGACGGGAAATCACAAGAAAGATGCTAAATTTTTGTAGGGACGTTTTACATATAAAGTGCCTGATGGGAGTCAGGAGAGAGGGCTCAGTAGTTAACAGCTCCGTCTGCTCTCCCAGAGGTCTGCAGTTCAGTTCCCAGCATCCATGCTGGGCCAGTCACAAGCACCTCCTGGGGTGGCTTTCCCAACAAGTCCCAAGCAGTTCCTCAGATCCAGTGCCCTCTTCTGGCCTCCTCGGGTACCTGTGCCCGGTCCCATGCTCCTGCCCCTCTCACAGATACATCTGCTTTAGAAAACAGAACAAAAGCCTGATTAGTACTTTACAAACTTTCAGGTATTTCATTTATTTTACTTAACTTCAATTTTTAAATTCCTTATTTATTCATTGGTAATTGAGACAGAATTTCTCTGTGCAACACCATTGCCTAGCAATAATTTTTTTTTAAAAAAAAAAAAGGAGCTGGACATTGACTCTCCCCACATATATGTGTGTGTGTGTGTGTGTGTGTGTGTGTGTGTGTGTGTGTGTGTGTGTATGAGAGAGAGAGAGAGAGAGAGAGAGAGAGAGAGAGAGAGAGAATAGATATGTATATATGCAGAGAGAGAGAGTCTGGAACTCACTATATAGACCAGGCTAGCCTTGAACTCAGAGAAATCCTCCTGCCTCTGTCTCCCAAATACTGGGATTGAAGATGTCCCATTATATTTAGATCCACTTAGGCTCTGATTGCAAAAGTTACCTTGAGTTTGTAGTCCAGGAAAACAAGGGAAAGGGGAGAGGAGATGGCTCCTCACACAAAGGTACTTGCCCCAAGCCAGATGATCCCAGACATTACAGGGCACAAGAGAAATGACCTCTTCAAGTTGCCCTCCAACCTCCACATACAGACCATTGCATGAGTGGGCATGCCCAAACATACATACCAAGTAAACTAACACATCAATCAATAATCATAATAACAGCAACAACATTAGAGAAAGCAAAGGAATCAGCAGACTGTTGCTCATGAAGGGTAGTTCTGGGAGAACCTGAAACGTGCTGGAAGTGCCTGTGGTCAGCACCACCCCCCACTCCCAGCACCCCCAACGCCGCCCCTCCTAGTCCGGATCTGTGGAAATGTGTCTAGCCACCTGCATTTGAGCGAGCCCTCTAGACCAAGTGGTGCAGGTCACGTCTGAGATCTGTGGGTGGGTGCAGATGGTGCAGGAGTTGGCACTGGTGGGTCAATCAGACTCCCTTTGGGCTCAATTCTTCATAACCTGCAACTGCCGCTGCCCCTGTCTCCAGGTGGGACAGACTCTAGAATTTCTCAGGAGTCTCCAGGAGAAAATACTTCCATCTTAGCCGTGTCCTCTGTCTCACCCTCCTCCCCTGTGACGATGTCCTGTCCTCAGTTCCCCTCACTTGCGTCCCTTCCAATGGTTTGTATGTGGCTTGTGGGTGTTCCCCAAGGGTTCGAGATCGGGAAGTTGGTTGCCTGGTGTGACCGTGTTGGGAGATGATGAGGTCTGGTGTTAGTTCATCACTCTCAAAAAGTTGAAGAACTTCTGATAAGACCTTAAATTACTTATATTTCCAAGAGTGAATTGTTAAATGTAAAAGCCAGAACCTGAGCCCTGAGTCACTCTTTGGCTTTCTATTTTTCCAGGTGATCGGGCTCTCTGATCCATTCCTATCATTGTGACGCCATTTGCCCTGAAGCCCTCAACAAAACTGTTTTCAAACAGCACCAGGTCCTTGAAAATCAAGAGCTAAATAAACTTCTTTATAAACATCCAGCTTCAGACATTTTGTTACAGAAATCGGAAACAAATAAATACATTGTTGCAAGTACTGCTTCTGTGGGCTCTAAGATACATAGTTGTGAAACAATGTAACTAGTGCAGACACAAACTGAAAGAAACCCTGTCGTAGGGGCTGTATTTGATTTCAAGCCAAACAAAGAAACAGAAACCTCCCATCAGAATGTCCTAAAGACAAAAAGTATTATTTCAGTTAGAAAACAGCGTAAAAAGTCAGAAGCTCGGGTTGGAGAGATGGCTCGGTGGTTAAGAGCACTGGCGGCTCTTTCAAAGTTTCTGAGTTCAATTCCCAGCAACCACATGGTGGCTCACAACCATCTGTAATGAGATCTGGTGCCCTCTTCTGGCCTGCAGGCACACACGGAAGAAATGTTGTATACAGAATAAATAAATCTTAAAAAAAAAAAAAAGTCAGAAGCTCTTCCCCTTAAAGAAATGCACACTTCTCTCAAAAAGAATTGGGAAAGGTGCCAAGAAACTTAGATGATGGCACTACCTGTAAGTCCAGCATCCAGGAGGTGAAGGCAGGGGGGTGGGTCCCGAGTGAACTATTATTGTGAGGCCATTCAGAATCAGACAACAAGAGCCTTTCTAAAACAAAACTGTATCACAAGCTTGTAATTCAAATATAATCATGTGGGTTTTTTTTTTGAGCAATTGATGACAAGTAGAAAAAAAAAGAAGCATGTGATACAAACATCTGAAAAACAGTCTCTTTTTCTTTTTCTACATTATTTTACTTTCATACGGAAAAATGTAAACATGGGTAGAAATTTAAAAAAAAAAGCGTGGTAGTGTTGATGCACCCTCTTAATCCCAGGACAGGAGAAGGGGGGAGGCAGATCTCTGTGAGTTTGAGGCAAGCAGGTCTACAGAGTGAGTTCCAGGACAGCCAGGGCTACACAAAGAAACCCTCTCTCGAAAAAGGAAAAAGAAAAAAGGGAAGAGAAAAACTGAGCCACCGCCACATACCCATTCCTCAGCTTCAATGGTTATTATAAATGTCATTGGTGTATATGTACATGTGGGGATGTGTGGTATGTGTTATGAATTTGTCTGTGTGTATAAGTACGTGTGCATCTTTCTTTTCTCTACAGTTAGTGAGTTCTCAGGACTACCCTGAGTTCCAGGCTGCATGGACTCCCTGTGGACATCTCCAGATTAGGGGCCCTTTCCTACCAAACTGTACAGGTGCAGTCTGCTGCTGCTGAAGGCCAGATCCAAGCCTTTTTTGTTTGTTTGTGTGTTTGTTTGTTTGTTTTTCCAGGCAGGGTTTCTCTGTAGCTTTGGAGCCTGTCCTGGAACTAGCTCTTGTAGACCAGGTTGGCCTCAACTCACAGATCCGCTTGCCTCTGCCTCCTGAGTGCTGGGATTAAAGGCATGTGCCACCACCGCCTGGCTCTCAGATCCTAGTCTTAACAGCTGCTGCTTCCTGAAGCAGCCATTGGACAGTCTTCAAGTCGGGGCCACTTCAGCCATTCTCAAATCTTCCATTTCTTTAGAGTCAAAAGCATCTCTGGTTTGTTTAGCTCCTGAAGGAGCATTCCTTGGTGGTCCGGTCAATGTAGATGTTCAGGATGCCCTACTCCAGTGTAAACATGGGGGCAGGTGTCCAACACCCAGAAGCCTTTCTCAATTCTCTGTTTATCTAAGTTTACTAAGAGCCCCCTTTGATTATACACATTATGTATGCAAGAGTGCCAGGCCAGATTAAAGATGCTCAAACTATGCTTTAATTTATTATCTGGGCCTCTCTAAAGTCCAGGAAGTTTATATTAGGAATGAAAAGCTATTTGGAGATGTAGCCACAAAGACCCTCAGAAATAACCAATAGCCACAGATCCTAGGCTTCGCCACAGAACTCCTTGGCTGTGGGAGATGCAGGAAGTAGCTGGCCTTGAGCCCACAGCCTGCTGCAGTAGGTTCTCGGGCCTCCTACCCAAACCTGAGTTCTGGACTTTATTCTTTTCTCTTTTTATTATGGTGGCTGGTTGGGGGTGGGGAGGGCAAGCAGGAACATAAGATGAAGTGAGTTTTAGTCTGATTTACCAAAGACTTCATTGCAACAGTCGTTGAGACAGAATTTGAACCCAGTCTTCCTGGCTCCATATGTTAACCCCCTCTCCTCCCTCCCACTCCCAAGGAATCTAGAAAACCCAGGGAAGCCTTGCTGCTGCCTTGAGTATTCCTGGAGGTACATGCAGTAATGCCTGTTGTCAGAAGGGCCAAGTTTCCAGCAGTTACCTAGGTGATGCTGGTGACAAAAGGCAGCAACCACACCCAGAAACCTGACACCAAAAGTCAACCCTTTGACAGGGGACCTCTTGGTTGACCTCAATGCCTACAGGTCTTAAATTCCATCCACTCCCAGCTGGGCGGTGGTGGCGCATGCCTTTAATCCCAGCACTTGGGAGGCAGAGGCAGGTGGATCTCTGTGAGTTCGAGGCCAGCCTGGTCTACAACAGCTAGTTCCAGGACAGGCTCCAAGGCTACAGAGAAACCCTGTCTCGGGTTTCCATCCACTCCCAAGTCCTGGGATCACAGGTCTGGGCCACCACTTTCAGCTAATAAATTATTATGTTATTTCCTGTTTTGTTTGTTCAAGACAGGGTCTTACTATGTAGCACTGGCTGTCCTGAAATATACTAAGTAGGCCAGGCTGGCCTCAAACTCACAGAGATCCACTTGTTTCTGTCTCCCAAGTACTAGGATTAAAAGTCTGTGCCACCACATCTGGCTTATTGTTTTTTAAAGACTTATTTATTTTTAAACTTTAGTAGCACACACCTTTAATCCCAGCGTTCAGGAGGCAGAGGCAGGTGGATTTCTGTGAGTTCCAGGCTAGTCTGGTCCACAGACTGAGTTCCAAGGCCACACAGATAAATAGTGTCTTGAAAAAAAAACAAAAAAAAAGTTTATCTTATTTTTGTGTGTGTGCATGTTCTGTCTGCATGTATGTATGTGTACCACATGTAGGGCTTTTGAATCCCCTGGAACTGGGGTTACAGATGGTTAACCATCATGTGGGTGTATGCTGGAAATCAAACCTGGGTCCTGGCCTGAGCAACAGGTACTATTAACCTCTGAGCCATCTCTCCAACCCTGCCTTAAATCTTAACTAACTCGTTTTTGAGGATAGACGTGGAGATGGTAGGTGGTATCTTAAATATGTCTCTTCCAGAGGTTCTGAGTTCAATTCCCAGCAACCACATGGTGTCTCACAACCATCTAAGATGAGTTCTGGTGCCCTCTCCTGGCATACAAGCATATATGGAAGGAATGTTGTATACATAATAAATAAATAAATATTAAAAAAAGGAAAAGAAAAGAAAACCAAATCCTAGACTCTAAACTGAGCAGATCCACCAAACTCGCGACCCCTCCCTCATCCCTCCACCCCTAGCTCTTAAGGAAAGCTCCTCTGAATACCAGCTTCCTGTGAGGCTAAGACTTGCCTCTAATTCCACTGCCAACACGGGTCCTGACACAGAGTTACTGCTCACCTTTCAGTGAGTGAGTTTCTTGGGGTTTGGTTTGGTTGAGACAGGTTCTCACCGTGCAGCCTTGGCTAGCCTGGAACTCTCTTGGCTGGTCTTGAACTCATAGAGATATGCCTAAAGATGAGGGCTACCTAGAACTCCCAGTGTGTGTATGTGTGTATGTACATGTGTGTGCAGATGTGTGTGTACATGTGTGTGCAGACGTGTGTGTGTGTGTGTGTACATGTGTGTGCAGGTGTGTGTGTGTTGCTAGGGACTAGGCCTAGTTCCTCATGCATGCCGTCATTGCAAGGTTCTTTGAAGCAGCAGCACCTGTTTCTCAGACGGCCGTAGTTAGCGGGGAAAACAAACACCCCTGAAACTCTTCATTCTGAGTCCACTGCACCAGGTTTATGGTCTCATCATCATGAAGAACGGCCAGGAAGGACAGTGAGGGTGAGCCGAGCTTTAAAGACGGTGCGAAGCAGCTCCCTGTAACCTGCAAGGGGGCACAAAAGTGAATTGCTAGCCAGGCCTCCTTGCCTGTGTCCTTTTATGCCCCTTTCACAAATCCGATTGGCTCGGGCCTGAGGTAAACTAGGGACTGAGTTGAGAGGCCTCTGTTTGGTTGACCTCTGGCTGTGGAGGGCTTCGGTTGGTCTGGAGATGAGGTAGGAAAGGAAAGGCAAGCTCAGGAAAAGATAAACACGCCAAGATATTTCACTGGGGTTGGGGGTGGGACCAGGAAGTGAGGAGAGCAAGAGGGTGTGGTCAATGGCTTTCAGAGCAAAGCTAGTAGCCAGTTTGGTGAGTCAAGGCCTTTTAAAATTTCCTGGGGCTGGAGATGTGGCTCAGTGGCTAAGAGCACGTATTATTCTTGCAGAGGATCCATGTTTGCTGCCCAGAACCCATGTTGTTTGACTCACAGCTGCTTGTAACTCCAGCTCCAGGGTATCCAACGTTTTGGCCTCCTCAGGCACCTGCATTCAAGTACACACAACCTACACACTGAAACAAACACATACACACAATTAAAAATAATAATAAAAAGCAGGGCTGGAGAGATGACTCAGTGGGTAAGATCACAGATATAACATTCAGGCAAAACACAAATAAAATAAAAATGAGTGGGGCGGTGGTGGTGCACACCTTTAATCCCAGCACTCAGGAGGCAGAGGCAGGCAGATCTCTGTGAGTTCGAGGCCAGCCTGGTCTACAAGAGCTAGTTCCAGGACAAGAACCAAAAGCTATGGAGAAACCCTGTCTTGAAAAGAAAAAAAAAGAATAAATCTAATTTTTTAAATTAATAATAATAAATAAAAGTCCAAGGCCCACAGCTTCCGAGTTAAATTTACAGCTTTGGGACAGAAGGTCCAGCTTTGGGTCCCGCCCTTGCACTCCGCCTGTGCAGAGTTCACTGGAAGCCGGTTCTGCCACATTGTAATTGCCTTCCTCTGAGATAAACAGCTGCCTTCTGCCTGGAGAGCGCTCTG